TTTAAAACCGGGTCAGGTGACTGACCCCGGCGTGTAATAATTTGGGCGGTCTCCCAGCGTGCAGCGTCATGCATGCTGCCGCTCGGGGACGTGGAGGAAAACGCGGGCGGCATCCGAGGCTGGAAGGATGCCGTTCGCCGAGCCCACGAGGAGGAGGGGACCGCGGACGGCTGGAGGGTGAGTACAGTGAGCGGAGTGCAGCCCCCCCCTCACAGCCGCCCGCGGGATCCCAACATTACGATTTAAGCAATATGCCCCAGACAGGTAAATAACAAGATATTTAGATAGAGAAAACCTATAGATAAAAGTATAGGTTCTATAGAGAAACAAGTAGATCAGAACAGAATAGTTTCATAAATGCAAGTAAAATAGATGTTTATGCAATCTGCCCCCTGGTTTGTGAGGAGTACAGATAATGCAGGTAATTACACTTTGAAATAAAGGAATCTAGGTATAGATTTAGGATCACATGCAGACATATTCGGTAGAAGAGTTACTTGATTAATGGTTGGAGAGTCTCTGGTAATAGCCTTCAGGTGTCAGGTTATGCAGATTAGGTAGGTTTGTACCAGGCTGGTGAAGTAAGGCAGGCTGGTAGCAAAGGCAGGCTGGTAACAAAGGCAGGTCTGTAGTGTAGGTAAGGGCTGGTAACAAAGGCAGACTGGTAACAAAGGCAGGTCTGTAGAATAGGTAAGGGCTGGTAACAAGGCAGAGGTCTGTAGCGTAGGTAAGGGCTGGCAACAAAGGCAGAGGTCTGTAGTGTAGCTAAGGGCTGGAATCAAGGCAGAGGTCTGTAGCATAGGTAAGGGCTGGTAACAAAGGCAGAAGTCTGTAGCATAGATAAAGTTCTAGGAGCCAGGATCAGAAGTACTTACAGGTAAACCATCAACCTAATTCAATGTAAAGGCACAGTATAGCATAGGGTGTGTCCTTTAGTAGAAAAAGTAATTAGCCCATGCAGGTGAGGTAGAGGGAAGGAAAGTTCTAGTGGTTAGGGAGGCCACTAGTGGCAAATCATAGTTACTGCTGGAACAAAATTGAATAAAAATGCATGAAGTTCCGAAATTAGGTTTGGATCCTGACACTGAATCTCTGTTCTCAGCAGCGCCCGCTCCACTGCCTTCATTTTGTGTTAGTCGGAGAGGAGGATTTTGAGCTGTCAGTGAGGTGTAGGCTTGTCGGGTTCTCCGATTAGGGTGGGAGCGAGGTGTCCCTTTCAGTGCACTGAGGCATGGGGTTTGGCGCCACCTCGATCTGGTGGGCCTCTGTCGGCAGCGATTTCTGTGCCGCCGGTCGTTGGAGCATAGCTCCGATGTCCCTGTCGGGTTTTTGTGAACAGCACCCCATATGGAGATTGTGTGGCTGCGGTGTCGATAGTTGGAAGTCCGACTCGCTTGTGTCGTGTGCCTCCAAAAAGCTGTCGAGGAGTGTCTCCAGGCCTCGTGTCTGCAGAGCGTGGTGGGCCCTAGTTTCGCATTTTGGCTTGGCGTGCCTCTGTGTGAACGAGAAAGGCATAGATCAATGCAGCCTGGTGTCCAGTTTGCGATGCCACAGTTTGTTTTGGTGTTTTGCGAGACAAGCATGGAGCGGTCAGAAATGGTGTCTGCTCGGCCCTAGCGTTAGCTCCAACCCCATTATTTATACACTTTTAAGTGCTTTTTTACACACTTTCTCCTTGTGAGTTCTTCTTTTAGTCCTAAATGTGGGTTAATTGTACTACTGTACTTGATTACTTTGATGTTTTCCCAGTGTGTGTTGTTTTGTTTACTTTAACTAAGGTGATGACACGAGCAAGAACTGCATCACTACCTTTACCACAGCGCTAAGAGGTCCAAACATAAAGTACCTTTGAATTCTTGAATTATGATGTACAAGATTGTTGTGACTTGGTTTTAATGTGATGTCGTTTCTTTGTTATTCCTTGCCCGTACCTATCCCCATTTTTTCTTTCTGTAACTTCTTATATTTTATTACAAAACTCAATAAAAACATCAAATATTTTAAATATAAAGGGTGCTCAGAGTTTCCCTTTAAATTGAAGAGTAATGTGTGTTCAGAATGAGAAATATTTGCTCTATAAAATAGCAGACCATATTGCACCCTATAGTAATTAAAAGCAAAACAAGTTATTACATTGCTAATGCCAATTTTTCCAGGAGATGATAGAGGGGGATTTTTACCCATAATTCTAATTGATGAAAGAAATGCCAGTGAAACCCTCAAATTTAGAGTCTCATGACGAAGGTGGAAAAAACCACATTAAAGGACCACTCTAGGCACCCAGACCTCTTCAGCTTAATGAAGTGGTCTGGGTGCCAGGTCCAGCTAGGGTTAACCCATTTTTTCATAAACATAGCAGTTTCAGAGAAACTGCTATGTTTATGAATGGGTTAAGCCTTCCCCCTAATCCTCTAGTGGCCGTCTCATTGACAGCCACTAGAGGCGCTTGCGTGCTTCTCACTGTGATTTTCACAGTGAGAGCACGCAAGCGTCCATAGGAAAGCATTATGAATGCTTTCCTATGTGACCGGCTGAATGCGCGTGCAGCTCTTGCCGCGCGTGCGCATTCAGCCGACGGGGAGGAGAGAAGGAGGAGAGGAGGAGGAGAGCTCTCCGCCCAGCGCTGGAAAAAGGTAAGTTTAACCCCTTTTCTCCTTTCCAGAGCCGGGCGGGAGGGGTACCCTGAGGGTGGGGGCACCCTCAGGGCACTATAGTGCCAGGAAAAAGAGTATGTTTTCCTGGCACTATAGTGGTCCTTTAATCAGACAAAAAATAGCTTGGGGAAAATGTGGGTGGAGAACTGGAGCTCAGGACCAAAATAGGAACGGCACAAAATATCACTATTGAAGTATTAACATGTAGCTTTGTGATTTCCTTTGTAACATTGCGATCACAGAGCTTTTTCTTTAATCGATGGAAGTTTTTTGATTTATTGTTTTTAGAGCAAGAAAATATTACTACACTGTCAGATACATCACTCTCCACCTGGGAAAGAATAGGAGCATACGAGCCTGTCACTGGACTAACATCTCTCTGTGTTTCCATAATGTGTCTCAGTATAATTAAAAATATCTTGTAGCAGAGGTTAGGTTTGGCAGTGAAAAAATACTTGATAATGTTCTTCTCTTGTTTCTAACTATCCCCAACAAACTTATCGGAATTGCAGAAATGAACAACAGGAAGATTAATCATTCTGCTGGGTAAAATCAGACAAGACCTACTCGCAGCTTAAATATAAAACACTCACTGCAAAATTTCCTTGGAGAGAATAAAACCATATTTTATGTTTGTATCTTTTTTTTGTAAATACAGTATGTTTCAGCATTTCAAGAATTATATATATGCCAAACGTAACTTTTATGTGTTTCTAATTCAATGAATCGATTTGGTGTTCTTTTATAAATTAATACATTGTCATAGCAATAAAACACTTTCCCATAATGCAGTTACATTTGTGTACAATGTTGCCTCATGCATGCGCAGATTGTCATGTCTGTCAAAGCAGCTTGAACTTGTGAAGAACCATTGCATTCTTTTTTTTTATTATTTTATTATTTATATAGCGACATCAGATTCCGTAGCACTGTACAATGGGTGGACTAACAGACATGTAATTGTAACCAGACAACTGGACGTACAGGAACAGAGAGGTGGAGGGCCCTGCTCAATGAGCTTACATGCTAGAGGGAGTGGGGTATAGTGACACAATGGGTAAAAGTAGGGGTACGAAGTAGGTTGTTAGAAAAGTATTCACTGATGGCTCAGTAGGTAATTTTGACAGTTGCAGGAGAGGAGTCATGGAGGGCGGGGGATAAAAACCTGCTAACAGTTTAATTGATATGCTTTCTTGAAGAAGTGAGTTTTCAATTATTTTTTGAATGAGTGGAGACTGGGTGAAAGTCTTACGTAGAAGGGAAGGGAGTTCCACAGAGAAGGTGTAGCCCTGGAGAAATCTTGGAGGCGAGCATTAGAGGTGAGAATACGGAGAGAGGATATACGTAAGTCTTTGGCAGAGCGCAGGGGCCTTGACGGGACATATTAGGGAGGATAGATAGGTGGGAGCAATATTATGTAGGGACTTGCACCAGAATTTTAAACTGAGCCCTATATCTAACTGGAAGGCAGGGACTGACAGAGCAGGGAGGTGTGGGAGGTGTGAGCGGATAGGAAAATGAGCCTCACTGCTGCATTCATTATAGATTGCAGCGGTGCAATCTGGGAACACGTAAGACCACTGAGAAGGGGATTGCAGTAGTCAAGATGAGAGAGAACAATAGCATGGACCAGCACCTTAGCCGCATCCGGCGTTAAATAGGGGCGGATGCGCGCTATGTTTTTGAGATGGAAGCAACAGGATTTGGTGATTGATTGGACGTGAGGGGTGAAGGAGAGGTTGGAGTCAAAAACACCCAGGCAGCGAGCCTGCGAGGAAAAGGTGATGGTGGCGCTGTAGACTTGGAGAGAGACAGACACGGGAGAGTTAACACTTGAGGGAGAAAGGACCAGAAGTTCTGTTTTG